GGTAACCTTCAGGCGCCCGGGAGCCCACGCCGCAGCCGCCCGGACAGGCAGGCTGATGTACAGGCGGGTCGGGTCTCAACTGCCGCGGGCCAAGATGAGAGCAGGTTGCGACAGCGCGCCCCCGGCTCCCTTCGGCAGCAGCGAGACCGGCAGGGGCGGGGAAACCCGGCGAACGAGCAGGCGGGCGAACCCGGCGGCCGCCTCCGCCTCCTCCGCTTCCTCCCTAGCTGCCGCCTCCGCCCCTGGTTGGCCGGCGCCAGGGCTGTCGCACATTTTGCCTGTCATCGAGGTCGCAAAGCGGCGCTTTCCGGCTGCCACGTGACTGCCCTCCTGTCAAGCGCTGGGCGCGCGACTACCGCTGGCGGATTCCTGTGCGCGCGGCGGGGACGCCGACCTGCAACCGCGGGAGTTTGAGGTCTCGCAACAGGTTATTCCGGTTCGTGTAGAAGCAGAGGCCGCAGGGTGCCGCCTCCCGCTGGCGGGGCCGAGATCTCTTTCTGCGTCTCACGTGGTTAGTCACACGTAAACACATCCAGTCTCAAACCAGCTCAACACCCGCTCGCCACCCTTCTCACAAACAGCCTGTCGTAAGTGTGCATTTTCTCTAAGTTTCACCGAAATACAACTCTCTACGACTCTCACCGTCAAAACCCGCTTACATATCATCACACCCAATCCCAAAGCCGTTTCGTCTGCATCCTTCTCAGACTCAGTAACAGGTACCAGACTCCCTCGGTCCACACGAAGGAGAAATGTGAGAATTTGGACCTGAAAGAGGGTGACCCAGCTAATAGGGAGGCGAAGGCAGGAGGGTACCAAATTGGAGCCCAGCCTGGCCAATTCAGTAAAACCTTGTCTCAACATTAAAAAAAAAAAAAAGTGGTAGAGGAAATGCTTCTGGGAAATTGAAGGAGGAGAATCACAACTTCAGTTCCCACCTGGAGAACTTAGCAAGACTCTCAAAATTTTAAAAAATAATAACGAAGAGGACTGGAGATACAGCCAAGTGGAAAGTCCCTGGGTTCAATCCTCCATATCACTATAAATAAATCATTAATAACAAGTGGAGAAACTTTATGTCATAAATGGGGAAAACAGAGTTCAGTTTTGAATATAGTCAGTCTTTAAAATACTTTTATGAATAAAGAAATTATATTAATATACTTGACAGTTACTGAAAGTTTCAACTTAGGGTCAGAAATTGACAGCCTCTGTACCAAAAATATCCACAAATTATGAACAATAAGGTGACCCTTTGTAATTACCATCTATGATAGAGGAAGGGTAACAGCGAAATATGTTCAACCTTGACTTCAGAAAATATCAGTCTGGATGGGGGAGATAGCTCAGTGGCACAGTGCCTGCCTGGCAAGCAGGAGGTCCTGAGTTCAATTCCTGGTACCAAAAAAAAATTTTTTTTAAACAAAATAGATAGATAGATAGATAGTCTGGACTGTGATAGGGCATTTACACTTTCATGTGAAGTAAGATTGCTGATTTCATTCAGGATAGCTAAAAAAGAAACTAATGAAATCACTATTTAGAATTGAGGCCTAAGAAAATCTGAATAAAATATTCAGTTTCCCTAAATACAAAGAAGCAAGCTAGATTTCCTGGGGGTGTAGCTGAATGATGGAGCACTTGCCAAGCACTTATGAAGCCTTTAGTGAGATCCCCGCACACACATACACAAAATACATAAATATCTCTATTCTGTGTGTCTTCTTAAATAAAAATGGCCTATAACCTTTATGTGATAATGTTTTACTACAGAATTAACTAAATAAAGGAAAGAACCATCTCTAGTCACATGCATCACTGTCTTAATTGCCATCCCAAAGGAAGAAATTCCAAAAGTCAGCACAAATATGAGTCATGAGGTGATACACAGTACTAACAATGTAAATGAGGCAACTCGGTTGCCTCATTGGCATGAGTCACCCTCAGTACAAAGTAGGAAAATAATTGTTTCTAGTTATATGGCCAGGGTTAATGCAGCCCTGAAAAGTTGATGATTTTCTCTATACAACTTGTGTGGATATCTCAGAATGCATTCACAAATTCTCCACTGTTCCCTTTCTCCCCTCCCCCCGCCCCCGTCTCCCTATCTGGAAGTTAAACCAGTGTTATATTGCAGAAAGAGGGGAAGAATATCCTAAGACATTATGCATATGATTTTTAGTACTGATTTCCCAAATGGTTGCCTGTAGGAACTTGGGTGAGTCTCTTTAAGTCTTTCTCACTTCTGCTTCTGACAGGAGTATTTCAGGTAATAAATGAGACAATTATGAAAATGCATGAAAGCCAGGGATATAGCTCAGTGGCACAGCACCTGGCTGGCAAGTGTAAGGTTCTGAGTTCAATTCCTGTACAAAAAAAAAAAAAAAAAAAAAAAAACATGAAAAATAGAGAATATCTTTATAAAACCAGCATATATTTCATATTTAGCATTTTCAGCATTCCTGTGTTTGAGATCTAACACTGACCATTACAAAACCATTATTCCTTTGTCTTTAAAATGGGACTAAACTAGGTGAGGAGGCGCACGCCTGTAATCCCCGCACTCGGGAGGATTGCGGTGAGTTCCAGGTCAGTCTGGTCTACACAGTGTGTTTAAGGCCAGCCTGAATTACAGAGCAAGACCCTGTCTCGAAATTTTAAAAGCCAAAATAGCACCAAAAAAAAAAATTACAGAGTGATTTTGAATGTTGTGAAAACTGGTCATAACCCTTAAAACCCTCCTGCCATAGTAGTTGTTATTATTCATTATGCCAGTTCCTAAATACTTTTCTTGGAACCACCTCTTTCATAATTCTTAAGCCAACAGAAATTTCTCTAGCGTGGCTTTTGGTATTTTTAACAACACAATTTAATGATATGATAAATTCTGTAACTTTTTTCTGTAATTGTTTCATCTGCATGTTTTATCTCTCCCCAAGGGTTGAGTTCCTAGATATTATAAACCATTTCATCTCATGTGCTCTTATAGTCACCATGGTTCATACATACGAAGTCTTCATTACAGAGTACAGTAGTTAATAATTTGACTCTATTATTTTTATTAAGTGTCTAATATGTATAGGTACCTTTATATATTATTTCTCATTGATTTAATCTTCACAACCACCTCACAGAATAAAACACTACTCTTAGAGTAAGGATTCACCCAGGTTATACAACAAAGTGACAGACCCAGAACTCAAAGCTAAGTCAAAACCAATGTTCTTTCTAGTACACTAGAGCAGTAGTTGGGAACCTATGGCATGTGTGTCACCACAGACTGTTTATATCAGTGAAAACTCTAAAAGGTTTGCCATCACTGTCCTAGAGCCTCTCTGTACTGTACTATTGCCTTTTCATGCTGCTAAATTTATATAGTTCTTAAAGAAACTTTTAAAAAATAAAAGAAACTATTGCTTCCCTAAATCTAATTATTCATGGTTGAATATCCAGGATCCAGAATAACTATCCAATACAAAAAGAAAAGAAAACCAAATATTAAAGTGAAAAACTTCATTTTTCATTTCAGTGGAACGCCTTCCTTGGAACAATTTCTCTGAAGTGTCACAAACCAAGAGAATAGAAATGTAGAGAAATTCCTTATCCTTACTAAGAGCCATGAAAAATAGTTTTAATGTAATCATTCTCATAAGTGGTCCAATGTAATAATTTGTGGAGCTCAGCCTAATTCAAATATATCTTACAGACTCGTCATGTTCTTTGACTTTACTCTTTTAAAGGGGATTTTTATTTCATCTTCCTTTCAAATATAAATAAGACTTAGTTGAAAGTAGGGCTGGGGATTTAGCTCAGCGGCAAAAGCGCCTGCCTGGCAAGTGCAAGGTCATGAGTTTGCTTCCCGGTACCGGAGAAAAACCAAAACCAAAAAAAAAAGAATTTCACTCGGGCCAGGGATATAGTTCAGTGGCACAAGTGCCTGCCTGGCAAGTACAAGGCCCTGAGTTTGATTCCTGGTACAAAAAAAAAATTATTTCACTCAATTTTTATGGAAATCATTTTGGATTTATACAACAGTTAAAAGGATAGTATAGAATATTACTATATACATTTTATTCTTCTTCCTCTAATATTACTATTTCACAAAACCATAGTACAGCACAACATGGTGGTGCACACCTGTAATCCCAGCACTTGGGAGGCTGAGGCAGGAGGATCACTGCAAGTTCAAGACCAGCCTGGGCTACAAAATGAGCTCAAGGCCAGCATGAACTGCATAGTGAGACCTTGTCTCAAAAAAAAAAAAAAACCACAGTAAATCTATGAAAACTAATAAATTAACATTGCTACAATACAATGCAATTAAATTCTAGTGACTGTATTTTTACACTAATATCCTTTCCCTTTTCCAAGGGCCAGTCTAAAACGCATTTAGTGTGTGTCTGAACTGTCTTCCAATTTGTGACAGCTTTTCAGTACTGACACCCCTGAAGAGTCAGGAAGTCTACAGAATGTCCCTCAGCTTGGGATTCCCTAATATTTCTGGGGAATTATACAGAGTTTATGGATTTTGAGGAAGAATACTACAAAGGTGATGTGTTGTCATCACATCATATCAAGGCCACATTATATCAAGGCCAAGTTACCAGCATGGTTTATTACTGATGGTATTAATGTTGATCCTTTGAGATAATCAATGTTTTTTAAAGCAATACTTCTTGCCTGTAATGAAATTCATGAGAAGACTAATGTTACTACTGAGCTAGATCCAAATTTAATTAGTCATAATCTAATCTAATGATGTAATGGCTAACTGTAGTGGTTGATCATGGATTCTTATTAAATAATGGAAAAGGGATAAGATTTGAGGCTCTAAGACCTAAGTTTGAATCCTAGGACCACTACATGCTGACTGTAATCTCAGCATTTGGGAGGCTGAGGCAGGAGGATTGTTGCAAGAGTTCAAGGCCAGCCTGGGATACAAAGTGAGCTCAAGGCCAGCCTGAAATGCATAGCAAGACCTTGCCTCAAAAAGACAAAATAAATAAATAAATAAATAAAAGGAAAAGAAAAATCCTGCTAAATGTCATAAATAAAATGCCAAAATTCCCCTGAGGGTGCCAGTCTATTTCCTACTTCTGTTCATCTATAAATACAGTAAAGAGAAAGAGTTTGAGACCAGGTTAGTACATTGTAAGTTACCTCATACACATTTCCTAAAGTCAGTCATTTAGAAACTGTACACACTGAGTCAAAGAGAGAAAAACACAAAATAATTTGACTACATCATATTCTGTAAGACCTTTAATATGATCATGAACTGCTGAAGACAAAGGTTCTAGACTGTTAGTACTCAATATCCAACTGTAAAGGCTGTCTTTCAGCATCTGAGGGACACATCTCTGTGATGTGACATGAGAAACTACTACCATCAATGTAATAGAGTCCTGTACTTAACTTTGAGTCTTTCCTGTACACGTTAGAATATAACTTTATTGAGGGCATACAACTCTTCAACCTATCTCAGTGAACTAACAACAAATATGATATTGTCATTGATGGTGCTTGGTAATGCTCACTTACTCTGAGTAAAACCTATATAGCCTCTGTGCTGCCAGTTCTGGTTTATATACTAGCACAAGAGGCAGAATAAGCAACAGCAAAATTAAAATTTTAAAAACTAAAGATGTTAATATTTCAGCAAAAGCAACTAAAGTAGTCTTCATGGAAAAACAAAACTTGGTTGGACATTTTCATTTTTGGGTTTTGTGTTTTTCATATTCATTTACATATGAGGCAGGGGTAATATATCAAAATTTTCTCAGTGCTTAACATCAACAAGAATCTTAATTCAGATCTGTAACCATGTTTTACCATATTACTAAATTACTATATATTGTATTTACTCAGTTATTCAATGAAAAGAAGTTTATTTCATGACCATTATAACACGTGTACACCTATGGGGGGTGTTGAGACAGGGTCTCACTATGTATCCAGACTGGCCTTATTCACTATATAGCACAAGCTGGCCTTGAACTTGCAGCAATCCTCCTGCCTTAGCCTGCACTGTGTGGGATTATAGGTGTGTGCACATATACCTGTTCCATACCTAAAAAGTACAATTTGACTTCTCATTATATTTCCTATAAGCAACAAACCATAGTAAGTTCTAGGAAACAATTTTTAACAATTTGCCAGGTGTGGCGGCACATGCCTGTAGTTCCAGCATTCAGGAGGCTGAGGCAAGAGGATTGCCATGAGTTCCAGGCCAGCCTGGGCTACATAGTGAGTTCAAGGCCAGGCTGAACTATAGAGCAAGACCCTGTCTATAAATAAATAAATAAATAAATAAATAAATAAATAAATAAATAAATAGGATTAATGTCCATTATTACTTATCAGCCAACAGTGCTACTATATGATCACATTTTCCATCTGTACTAAAAATAATTACATAGCTCCCAGAATAATCAAAAGTAAATTGTTATTTATTATTGGTCTAAATCAAATCCTAAATATTCTATTTGAAATGTCTAAATATATGTTTAAAAAAAGAGTTAATTCCTGTGTTGTGTTCCTACTTGATTCACAGCTCAGCTTTATTTAACTCAGAAAACAGCTCTGTTTTATTTTTCTCCTTAACATTCTGTTAGAGAAAACATCCCCAGATTCTTCTCAGCTTCTGCTCTCCCTGTACCTAAAGCCGATCTGTTGCTGGCTGATAATCCAGATGTTTCTGGCGTTTTGTTAATACTCCCAGTTTTCTTCAAGGAGCTGGGTACAGATGTTGCTTGAGGATATACTTGCTAGGAGCTGGTTCTAATTACACCACTTGTATTTTTTTGCTTGGTTTCATTTTGACCACTGCAACCATGTTGCATATTTTTGAGCATAAAAACATAGACACCAACAGTTACTTATTTCCACATACCTAAAAGAGAAATTTAAAAGTTCAGAGGACTGGTATCCAGCTATTGAAATCAGTAATTAAGAAGAAAGGCTATTCCTTTATGTTTGGATCACCCTCCCCGCATCACCCTCCAAAACCAAGCCCCCATCTAAATTGTGAGAGGAGTTCAGCAACAAACACATAGCTTCTGGGAAACACTTCCCAAGACTTCTTTTACGTTTAGCTTAAAAACTACTTTTTTTCCCATTTCTCCAAGAAGAGGAGGAGTATTTCACATTTTCTAGTCCGTGGAACTTTAAGACTTCTGGGTACATTATGATTTCTTATGACATGGTCTACGTTTCCGTAAAACTCAAGTCTAGCTGGCTCTTGCCCCAGCACTGTCGCCCAAGCCACGGCCACCTCCGCAGCCTCGGGTGAAGGTCCGGCAGGTGCGAGGCCGAGGCCGGGCTGAACCGAGGCCGAGTTCACGGTGCGCGCGCCCGGAGGTACAGGCGGCCGCCGCAGGCCTGACTGCGCGAACTTGGCGAGCCTGGCTGCGGCGCGCGGAGGCAGGCGGACCTGCCCCACTGCGGTCGGGAAG